CCATTACGATTATTGCAATTTTAAAAATGGAGAAACACGTCGACAGTCTAAAAAATGTCATTCTGCCATGGACTAAGGAGGAATTTGCCGGTTATATGGAGATTCTAATCAAATAACAAACCAAAGTATACGGGAAAGTTGACACAAAAGCTTTTTGTTCAAAGTTCCATGAATGTTTTGTAGTGGACATCTAGGTTGATGTCAAAAATGCTGTAGGTACTAAAAATATTACAATATGGATGTCCTTTTTGATGAAATTAGGACGACAAGGCAGGCAACAGTAGTGGTGCTCTGTCAGAGTCTTATAACGTCAATTCGCAATCGATGTGAAGCAGTATTAAAGTAAAAGTGTTAAGTAACAAAATACTAGCTGAAAGTAAGCAATTTTTTTTAATAATAGTATATTTTGCTTATTAAAAAATGGTTTAGACACATGAATTTTAGGCATTTTTTAAACTAAGATAAAAAAATGAAAAACATTTTTACTATCAATTTTTTTATATGTTTTTCATTGACTTTTTAATAATACAAAAAAAAATTTCAAGAAAAAAAAACAAAATTCGTCGAGATGTTTACTATTAAAGTTTAAGTTTAACGTAAGCGTTTCTAATTAGCTGTCAACAGYTGTATTTATCCTCGGCGGTTTAAGAAATGAAGATACTTTTTGACTATTTTCGATTTAGGGTCCCGTGCCGGTAATTATTGCAATGTACAATATAACGAATTATATCTGTATTTACAATATGAACTCAATARTACGATAAATATTGACTTAATGAAYTAAAGAAAGTAATGAAGTTTTAAAAAGATACGTATCTGCTCATACTTACATGCCTGTCTCCATAAATACAATTTCATTTGAGTTTCGCAGTAACGCAAAAATATTTCAACCACGTTTTTTGTTTTTATCCACTTTCTTAACTTTTGTTCTTATCGCGCTCGCTGCTGACAAATCCGCGACTGGCGATGCATACAAAAATATATATGTACATACATATGTAATAAAATATATGTATGTCTGCGCGATTTTCTGTACATATACATATGTATATCTTACACACATCCATACATGTATTTATGCTTATAGGTAAGTGACGACATTGTTGTTACTGACATCGCATTAAAATGTTGGCCTGTTTAATGTAATCATGGTCACATAATAAAACGTGGTGCGTACAAAACGAATGGCTACAATCTGGATTTCCTTGATTGTCATCATCATCACTTTCGATACCTAGCCAAAACACGCTATATTATTACATGATTTTGTTCTCTGGTGTTGTTGTTGCTAGTGTTTGTTGTTGTTGTTATTTCACCTTTTACTTTTCCCGCATTACTATTTGCAGAGCGTCTTGCGGTCAGCGTGTTGGACGATAACGATCATCAATAGATCAGCCTGATAACGTTGTTCGGCATTGGCGCATAGCGCACGCACACACACACACGATCCCTGCCAACCACGGCTACCCATTTTTGTCAAATATTTCAATACAACTACACATTTTTTTCTCTATGCACTAACACCAACGCACATTTTCGGGCTATTTTTTGTTTACCTAAATGCGATAAAAAAAAGTTTCTTTCATTTCTTGATTTATTTGAATGAGTGCGAAGGAGAAAACATAATTGTCAATAGTGCTAAAAGCAAATCCCAAAAAGGGTAATAAAAAACGATTGAAAGACGCATGTCATTCGTGATCGTACCATCGTAAATAGGATAATGGGATGCCCAACTTATTCCAGTGTTAGAGCGCCTCAAAATAAACGTTTTTTATAACATTTTCCATTATGGTCAGATGGAACAAAATAACAATTTTTGGCATTTAAATTAAAACGCCCAACATTTATTACGATTGCAAATTATTATATRATGGACTTTTAGTATATRGTGAAASTACTTAAATCCTTTTTTTAGGATTTTATGGTACAATAAAACAACTAACTTTTGATCTTTCAATACTTAATAAGGTGAATTAAGCCTGTTAGTTCTCAATTAATAAATGGTTTTAATCATTTGTAAATGAAATATAATTCTACTATGCAAAACGTTTCATGAACTATATTTAAATTTTGCATTTTCTTTGAATTTCATTGTTTAAAAATTTTATTAGCGATCTTGAAAGGCGGCAAAAAATTCCTGCGTTCACATATATTTTGGTATAATCTCAATCTGGCCGTTCCAGTCATTCCAATAACAAAACGTCAAAACCTACYCAATCCAGTCAACTGTCAAAGTGCGGTAGGTGAGCGATTCTCACATTTCCAGTGACAGGAGAGTTGGGGACAGAGATAATGAGATGTTTAACTCCTCTCTCACTGGAAGTGAGAGAACAATTGCTAAACGTCAAAACCACCTAAACTTTGACAGTTGATCGAGTTCAGGAGGTTTTGACGTTTAACAATTGGAAACGAGCGATGGCCAGATTGAAATCTTAGCGAAAAAATACGTAAGCGGAGGGATTTGTTGCGTCGTTCAATACCACTTGTAAAAAATGTAAAACAATGAAAATTAAATAAATTCGTGAAATTTGAAGGTATTTAATAAAAGGTTTTGCAATTTGAAGCATCATAGTATTATTTTCAATGGAAAATGATTAAAAACATTTAATGATTTAGAGCTAACAACCTTAAATCCTTTTATTGGGTATTGAAAGGTCAAAAGTCGGTTGTTCTAATATACTTTAAAAAAATTTAAATAGTTTCTYCATATAATAAATAACCACTATATAATAATTTTTATTCGTACTAAATGTTGGTTGTTTTATTTAAAATGCCCAAAAAATARYYTTTTTTCTGATCTGGCCATAATGGAAAATGTCATAAAAAACGCTAATTTTGAGGCGCTCTCACACTGGAATAAGTTTAACATCCCCTTATTCCTGGTTGGGGATCTCTTTATCTCTGATCGTAAAGGAGGCTCGTACAACAAGAAGGTAAGTGAATGATTTTTATGTGATTTTTTTCAATAATTTGCAAATGATTACTTCATTTATTTTTATGGCATTGGAAATCAGAACTGAGTTGTAGCAATATCATCAGAAGCGGCTAATATAAACTATTAAGTAAGTATGTGAAAACAAGTGTGTGTTGTTTTAAATTGGACTGCGCAGTCCATTATAATACGCAAAAATAAATACATACATATGTATTTTATGCGTTTAAGGCGGCCTGCACAATCCAATATCATATGTGAAAACAAATGTTTGTTTTATATATTAAATGATAAAATAATATTTATCTTTTCTATCAGCTGTTATTATTATTTTTATTTAATTATTCTTTCTTTTCAGATTTTATCACTATTTTTATTTAATTAATCTTTGCTTTCAGAGTAAATTATATTTGTATTTAGCATATTTAATATTTTCAGACACTATTATCATTTTATACAATTAATCTTTCTTTTTCTTTTAGATATTACAAATTCATTGTACTATTATTTATTTTCATGTATTAATTACCTTTATTTTATTTCAGGTATCTTTATTTTCAGGTTTCAATAAGTTTTTCTTTAATAAATCTTTTTTCAGATATTAATTATTTTTT